TGTAAACATGATTTTTCCAAAAGGACGTGAACTCCCTTTAAAGGAGTGTTTAGAATGTTTAACAAAAAAAAAAATGTGTGTTTAGAAATCACACTTTTTGTTAAAATCATTTTTAATAAACACTTTTTTGGATCCGTTCTATTTAACAAAATAACGTTGTTTTAGTATAAAGCAATACTGTTTCAATCAACAGCATTTCTGCTGTTAGTTTTATAAAAGGAGGGGATTCTCACTCCACTTTTTTAGGTTAAATTTAGGATTGGAGATGCACAGCAATCATATAGCTGTCACTCCCACGTAGTTAAATATGTTTGGAATGTGTCATATTTAATAAATAATTTTTTAATTATATATAATATAACTCAATAATATTTGCGGTAAAATTGAATACTACTTTAATTATATTCAATTATAAATAAATTAAAACAAATTTAATAAATTTTAATAGGGGAATTTGAAAGTCGATACAAAAATTTAGATTTAATTGAGTTGAGCTACATTAAATAAACTTATTTGGCCGTAAGTGCATTTTTTTGAAAAAAAGACTAAAAGGTCATTTATTACTCCATTATTCTCTGACTTTATCTTTCCTATTTTCTCTCTATCTATCTCTTTCTCTCATATTGATAATTTATTTTTTTGAAATATGCAAAAATTTGATTTAATATTTTCTCTTATTTTCTGTCACCATTTTTCTCTTATTTTCTGTCACCGTTACTCTTTCTCTTCTTATTCTCTCTATCCTTAGATCAACGTTACACGGTTACACCAATTAATTAACCAATCATGTGATTTAATAAACTAAATAATCACACAAAATTACAACATCAATCAAATTTATCATTCAATTGTTTACATAAACCAAAAAATTATATCATTTAGTATCACGATATAATTACACTAATTATATCCACCAAATTGGGTTTATCATTACACAAAAGACTTTATCATTATACCAAATTTGGTGTATATGATTTGTGTAATTATGTGGTGATACTAAATATTACAACTCTTTAGTTTTTGTAAATAACTGAATAATAAATTGAGTTGGTGTTATAATTTTGTATAATTGTTTGGTATAACTATTTGGTCTATTAGAACACATGAGTAACTGTTTTGTGTATATAGGATAATTAGTTATTGTCTGTCCCTGAAGGAACGGAGTAATAAAAAATAATAAACAATAAACATATATGTATTCATATTCAAGATTAAATTACAAACATAGAGGAGATTAGGGGTGTTCACCCTACTCTACGAGTAAGAAATATGCTCTTCCGTCTTCTTACCCGATATTTTGCGGAAGAGTTTTTTCTTGGCCTACCCTACCCGACAGGTGTGGTATTCCTACCCGATTAATCGGGTAGGAAATTGGATAAATATTTTTGTAACAATTAATTTTTGGATCATTTTAATAATTTAATTAAATAACATGCACCAATTTAACAACACAATAAATTAATTAACACTAAAATCTAAAACAACTACATCAAGAATTACAATAAAACACAATAAAGTATGAATATCAATCTATCATAATTGTTACACAAATACAATAACAATTAATTTAAGTTTAAACTTTAAATCATATGAAATACATTAAAATCATAATTGATCTGCCTGTAGTTAGGGTTTAGGATTTTTTGAGTTTATATATATATATAAATTATTGCGGGTAGGGTAGGGTAGGAATGCGGAAATTGATGGCTATTTCGCATTTCTACCCGAAAATTGTCGGAAGATCAAAAACTCTTCCACATTCCTATCCGATTTTTGCGGCTAGTCGTTCGATCGAAAATTTGAACACCCCTAAAAGAGAGATAAATGAATTTAAACATCGGTTGTAGTGGGAGTGAGAGGTGGTGGGGCGGTAGTAGTGATGGTAGGAGACGGTGATGGTTGTGGTGGGTGGCAATAACCGTGATGGCGGTAGTGGCGGTGGTGACGGCAACAGCGACGGCGACGGTGATGGTGGTGGTAGTGATGGAGGCGGTGATGGTGGCGATAGCAGCAGCGACGACGGCAATGGTGGTGGTGTTAGTGCTAGCGGCGGTGGCAGTGATGGTAGAGGTAGTGGTAGGACGGTTGAAACACTATTTTTTTTAAAGTACTTATGAGAAATAATTCCTAGAAGTACTTTTAATAAGTAACTCCAAACACACCCTCAGGCCCTATTTCCCTTATTAAATTTAGGGTGTTAATATTAGTCGTTAGATTAATTTTAAAATAAAATTTAAATAAATCTCAACTGCGAAAAACAAAAATCATTTTGTTTGTCTTTTGAAATTTGAATTGTAAGCTATTTTATTATATAGATTATAACTGATTGGTGTGACTGATTAGTGTAATTGTGTTATTATAACGTTGATATAAAAAGAGAAAAAGAAAAATAGAGAAAGAGTAATAGTGAGAAAAAATAGGGGGAGAGAGTGAGTGAGAAAGAGAGAGAGAGAAAAAATATGGAATATTTAAAAAAAAAAATTATCAATGGGAGATAGAGAGAGAAAATAAGAGAGAGAGGGAAAGTACCAGAGAGAGAGATAGAGATAGAGAGAAAATAAGGAAGAGATAGTGAAAGAGTAATAGAGAGAGGGAGAAGGAGAAGGAGAAGGAGAAGGAGAGGGAGAGAGAGAGAGAAAATAGGGGGAGAGCGAGAGAGATGAAGATAATAAAATTTATGCATAATTTATGGAAGTGTAACTAAGTAAAAAAATTCAAATGTCATTTAATTTGCTTTCAAATAAATTTTAAAAAATAAACCCACACCTAAAAATCTCATTTTAATATGACATGAATATGAACGGGAGTCTGTACAGGCTAGAAAGTGTGGGCTAAGAGGCCCCACCATGAGTCCATCACAAAATCAGATGAAGAGTTGAGTAGCTGGACGCTTTGAAGAGGGCCATTCTAATGAACCCAATTGCAGTCACAACTCAGGCCAAATAGTGGGGATCCATATTCAGTCAAATGTCTTAAGGAACAAATTGCAACGTTCACCCAATAGCTTGTTAAAGCTTAATGGGCTTCAAAGCTTGAAGAAGGTTAATGGGCTATTGCCCATTTGAATGGACTGTACGCTCCCCTGACAGATTCAGCAAAATAAAGTGCAGTATGAAACCATCCAACTCTTTTTGAATTGTGAGAATCTATTCGTCTCCGTATCTATAATATAAAACAGACAAATTTTAATAAGTTCATTCGATAATATCAAATAGACTTATTCAATGGTTACCAATCTCTTTCTCAAAGTCATTCATATTACATTGTGCCTTCAGGTATGAGTTATTCCTAATAAATAAATAAAATTATTATGTATTGAAGTATAACTATTTAAATTACATAGTTTAAAATATTGGAGTAGATAGTTATTTAACACGGTATCAGAGCATGAGGTCCTGTATTTGAAATCTCGCCGCCACTCTAATTACAAAAAAAATTCGCGTGTTACGTCCAAAATATAATCTAACCGTTAGGGAGCATGTTGAAATATAAATACTTAATTACACCGGGTATCAATCATTCACCATTATACAACTACCATCCCTGCAACTTACAATGGTATCCCTCTATCAATGGTCACTACTACGAGCCAGTGGTCCAATAAATTCACGGAAGTACCTAGGTTAACACCTAGTCCAAAATCAATTTTTCTAACATGAAGATAAAATTATCTATCACTTTCTCTTTTTTAAACCCCGCTTTAGAAAGGATTTTTGTTCACCCGCTACAACTTTTTTCATTTAGATAGACCATAATCTGTGGGTCTGCCCCTATTTTTTTTTTCCTTTAATTGTTGTGGATAAGCACATGGTTATGTTCCAATGTTGATGCCGTCTCACATGGTAGGTCACACAGTCCTTTAGCCCTCAAAATCTTCTATGATCTGCTGTTATTTTGCTGTCACTCTACATCAAAGTAGATGTGGAGAATATAAAATTTATTGTTAATCATTATTCAAATGTTATTCTCCATTAATAACTTATTATTTTTTTTACATATTATGGTCAGGGGCCAAGAAGTTTCCAATAGTAAAAGATTACTTATTGTCTGGATATTGACAGATGTAGACGGCTGCGCCATACAAGAAGCTTGAAGACAATGAATATTTTGGAAAGATGATGTGGACATTTTTGGAGTAGTTGATGAGAAAATAGATATTGCAGCATTGTTGAGTATTGGGTCTACATTATTTTTAATACACGCTCTTTCAATTTTTCTTAGATCACCTGGTGTATAAAGATAGATAATTCACTTGTATATAATACGTCTTACATAAATATAAAAACACACGAATTTTTTTATGGTGATGTAGTCAAAAGATTGAAAATAACTCCTACGGTTTGTGACTTAAAAGTTATTGGATCCCACGTTATATTTTTTTATGATTATTGATGTGAGGGTCTATCTAACAAGCAATAAAAAAAGCAACCGACACTAATTTCTTCTGTTTAGCCAACATTATTGGGCATGCCTGTGCTATATTTGTATTTTTTTTATGATTATTGAGGTGAGGGTCTAGTAACAAACAATAAAAAAAGGCAACCGATGCTAATTTCTTCTGTGAAACCAACATGACTGGGCATGCCCTTTGCTAGATTTTGCACCTCAAAGGTGCAACAATGCAATCAATCGGGGCCAATGCCATGTTATAATGTACCAAAGCGTGATTCATGTTTTATTTCTCTCTCTCTCTCTCTCTAACCTGGTGAGTCTTGATCCCCAGTCATGTCCACCCCGGCGAGTCTCGATCCGTTGGTCGTGCCTGGGCTCAATAGCGGATTAACTACTCTTACAAACCTACTTTGCTCCTCTTTGGTAAATAACTTAAGATAACTAAATTCTGCAGTATAACAGCCTATGCATCAATTCTGCTCCTTTTATTTGTACCTAGAACGATCATGAAAAACTCCAAGGGGGTAGTTTAAATAGTAATACGAAAGAACTGTAAATTCAAACCTCGTGACATACATCATTTCTAACATCACCATGACAATACATTTAAAATGCCAATCAGGTAATACACAAAAATCTATGCTCCAACTTGGCCATTAACGAAAAACCAGAGAGAGTGTCTGATAATTTATTTCTATATACAATATAAAGATTACATGTTACAAACCAGTGATCATATTTATACCCTTCACAACAGACGTTGACCTTTCACCATCAAAGCTTAAATCACTCGAGACTCCTTGAGACTGACTTTTACACTTGAAAAGGAGGAAATTAAAAAGCAAAGGAAAAATAATGAACACATTCTCAAATATCAAACACAATATAACTTACTAACCCCTAAAACAGATCCAACAACATACCTTCACATCACAATTTCTGGCTTCAAAATGTTAGATTTGATCTCTTTGTGCGGCAGAACCACACCCCCGTTGCTGTAAATTTCATCACAAACGTGAACATCCTCTCCAAGGATAGTCATGTTTTCTACACGAGCCCACTGCCCAACGGTGGAGTGCCAGCCGATGATACTACTTGAGATGCATGCATGTTTTTTGATGCGGACTCCACGCATTACCGTGCAGCGAGAGAGTCTAACCCCTGACTCAACCACACAACCAGGGCCGATAGCAACGTCAGGCCCAATCAAGCATCCGTCACCAATTTTAGCACTCTCATCCACCAGAACATTTCCTACAATATGAGGTCCAGAAGCTAATTTGGAAGAAAATTTCTTTCTCAAGGAGTCTAGGTATAGTCTCAAGCCAGAGATGTAATCTCTTGGCTGCCCAATGTCCATCCAAAAACCAGGTAGGACCATCCCATACAGTTTTTTTGCTGCTGCAATTTTTGGGAAGACCTCTTTCTCGATTGAGGTAGGCCTTAGCTCAATTCGATCAAGAACAGATGGGTTCAGAAGGTAAATCCCAGCATTGATCTTGTTACCCACAAACAATTTTGGTTTTTCAACAAATCTCTCTACTTGTCCTGTTGATTCTTCCATAACGACGACACCATATTTTGAAGGCTCATCTACCTATAAATATCAATCAAAATCATTATCTATCAACTAACTTTATTGAAAAGTTCCCACAGGTCTAAGATGATGTCGCAGAACAGTAGAACAGAAATTATTTGGATCCAGTTTACCTTGGTTACCATTATGGAAGCCTCCCCTCCATGGGATTTGTGGAATTCAATCATCTCTTTCAGGGGGTATTCACTGATGACATCACTGTTAAGGACAAAGAATGGCTCACCAGATTCATCTATCAGTTTGTCTCTAGCCAGAGCCAGGGGACCAGCAGTGCCAAGTGGTTCAGTCTCCTGTGAGCAAGTGATCTTGATCCCAAGCTTCGTCTCAAAGTCCTTCAAGAAATTCAGCATAATCTGCATGGAGGAGGTGGTACCACAAGTGGTCACCAATTTTGTAGCTGCAACAAAAATCTCCAAGCAATACACAAAGTGGGATATGGAGCCTCAATTATTTACCTCCGGTTGGTAATTTATAGCAAGAACCACTTCACTCACTCCAATGGCCTTGAGAGCTTCAATCTGATAAGATTAAAGAAGATATTAAATCAACCCATGTTTAACCATCACACACACCGACACACACACACAAACTATTCATAATGATAATCATGAAAAACCATAAAATTTCTCTGCTGACACAAAGTTCAGTTTTCACTTGAGTTTTAGAAGTAAGCAAAACATCATGAAATGGGGTTATACATAACATATTATATAATCCCCTAACATGCTGAATATTCTACATTGGACTGTGAAACCAGAAAACCTTACCAAAAACTTCCTAATTATCATGAATTCAAAACAAGTTTTTTCCCTTTTTTTCCTTTTTCTTTCCTTAGGGAGGTGGGGAGAGTTCTTCGAAAGGGAAGAATATATGCCACGCACAAGGTGTATCATCTCCTTGTTCATGTCAAAAAGTGATAATCAAACAGTTACAAAAGGAAGGCAATCCACAAAGAAGCATCAATATGACCGAGGGCTATTAAAGTTGAACACGGACGGACATGCTCATAGAAGTAGTACCTGATGAAGGATCATAGGTTTGTTAGCGAAATCAACAAGTGGCTTTGGGACACTAAGAGTCAGAGGCCTCAATCGTGTCCCAAACCCTCCAACGAGAATAAGTGCCTTCATCCTGAGATGGTTGTGTTTATCCTGTTAAATATAAAGTCAGACTCAGGGCAAAATCTTCTCAGAAACTAAGAAAACGCAGTATAAAAAAACATTTAGCAAATGAATTCTGATCCACTCCATATTTATCGGTGCCAGAAGGGAAAGAGATGTACATCTACAGAACTCTGCATTGACATCTGTAGATCAGAAACAATGATAAATGGCTCACTATCATCTGTAGGGGCAAAGCTGGGAGTGACTAATAATGGGTGACTTCAACAGATGCATGGAAGAGGAAGAACACCAGTCTACGACAAGGATCGGAAATAAAAAAAACTAAAATTTAAAGACTGGCATTAGGAAATGGCCAAATTGTCTCACGCGTCATAAGATCAACCAAAACGTGAAAATGGCCAGAAAAAAACCCATCCAAATTGTTTAGCTGGAAAAGGAACAAATTCCAGCTATACCACAGGCTGGAGCTGTGGAAACGACAAATGCACTGAATTCCGTAATGAATTACACTATGTAGTAGCAGAGACTGCACCTGAATCTAGTTGCATATTAAAAGAGATGATTTAACAAAGTTATATGCAGGGGAAAAAAAATAAAAGAATTCCCTTTTCAAGCTTAAAAGCTGAACTGTAGTGAGTGTAAGAATCAGAAAATCAAACTGCCAGAAACTTCCTAACTATGAGGTTTTACATGGGTGTTACACTCATCAAAGCCTCACCAGTAATATCATATTTCAGCTAAGAAAATCCAGTTATCATTTTCCACATGTTCCCAAATAATGATCAAATGCAAATACCACCAATTTTTACTAACCGAGAATTTGATAGCGAAGAAAAGAACAGTTGAAGCTCAGAATAGATAGCGAGCACAAGAGGATCAGGGGATTATTTTTCCTGATGACCCTGATCAATACCGGTAATTTTCCTGCTGACCCTAATAAATACCCAGAAGAATCAGGCAGAAGTAATTCTCAGACTTCGGGCAGTTATGAAGCAATAATAGCCAACGAAAAACTTTTGATTGTATTTTCCAAAAAAGAAATCGTATTTCCAAAAATAAAATTTGGCACATTTCCATGAAATTCAACTTAACAAAACTTATAAGCGACATGAATTTTGTACAGCAAATATCAAATATGTATATTTTGTGAAACATGATCCAAAGGACTGCCAATCAACCACAACTTTTGACAACTAGGTTGAGCAAAAGATGTCAAAGGAGGTCTTAACAGGTCAAAGGGCGGGACTTCTATAAAGTTTGTCTCATTTGACATTGAATTCACCTCCAAAACACCAGTAGAGCCAGATCAAGCAATAAAGAAAGTAATTCACATAAATACAGGCAGAAAAGAGAATTAATAAGCAAAAACTACCGATTAAATCAACCCTATCGCGAATATAGGCAAACTTATACCAGATCTAAACAAACACAGAAACATGATTAAATTCAGACATTTTATCCCTCAATTAAACATAATGGTTGCATTTTTATCTTCTGAAAATCCACAGAAGCCATTAAATATGTTATCCAAACACTAAAAACCGAGCTTGAAGATGAAAAGAAACAAATCTAAAGATAATTAAAGCCAAATTACAACCAAATCACAACGACATTGCAAAATGGCTCTCGATGTATGCAAAAAAGCATTGAAAGACAAATCAAAGGACCTGTGCCAAAGCTCCAAACAACAAAATTGCCTCCAAAACACCAATCCACTTCAGATCTGACTATATGAATTAGAATTTACCTCAGATCACAGTCGATCTATGAAAGTTATGGAGTGAGTCAAGGACCGAGTCGACTGGGGGAACAAGTCAGAATTTTCCCTCGCTTTCTTTTCCTCAACGGTTGGTCGTCAGGGGTGTGTCTGTGTGGTGTTGGAAGGGCGTTGGTGGAACAAGGCTTCACCGTGTGTATACCTATCTATATATAGCTGCTGTATCTATAGATAACTACCACAGATAAAAAAAAAAAAAATGATTTAGATTTCAAATTAAATAATGGATTGTAATTAAATTTGCTTCCCTTTTACAGGTTGAAGAAATCGGTTAACTTTTTACTGATAGCCATGTGGTCTAGTGGTTGCGGTTTTGGGGGGGGGGGTGTTGAGCTGTTTTTAGTGGTTTAGTCTGATTGGGGTTCGACTATGACTCATATCGTCTTTAGAGAGTGTCTATACATTTTATGTTTAGCTCTCTATAAAAGATTTTTTTGACTGAAAAGGATTGATAGAGTGACATTAAAATTCTTGATCGTCTCTCTATATCCGTTACAAACCAAAAAAAAACCCTCTTCCGCAACACCTTTTTAATCGTGAAAATGATATCTTGGACTATTTGGTATTAAACACAACTATTGTACCCATATAAATATTCTTAATTTTCTTCATAATAATTCTGGATTTATGCGTGTCATCCGCATTAGACAATGCTAATCATCACTATATTTTTTCTAATTTATTAGATGTTCACATAATATTTTCAAATTCATGTAAATATTGGTACTTATTTATATTTTCCTTTACTTTTTAATTATTTTAACCACTAAATTACGACAGTTAATTTGAATACTCCGTGGATAGAAAAAAAAATATCTTATGTTTGATGTAATAAAACAACTAAAATAAAAAGAAAATATAAGACTTGGTCATATATTTAAGATTGTTAGCACTGGAAATTTTATCCCCCACATTATTTTCGTTTTATTATCATATCATTATCGCTCATTTTCATAATTTCATCAGAAGTTGAATCATT